TACAAACACAGTTGCTATGAAGCTATTTCGATTTGAAGACCTAAGCCTATATCTAAATTTAGCAGTGAAATTTCAAGGTTCGGAAGCATAGCGTAATAGTCTTTAGGAATGGCAACGCATAATACCATGAACATCGCAGGGCATTATATGTTGTTCATGGTGCTGTTCATGTCTATAAGCGATGACTACTACTTTCCATTAGGTGGGCTATCAGCTTGTTTGCCATTTTAAGTATATTAAAAAAAAAAAAACTATGTACAAATCAAATGTGCACTGTACCATGCAACGCATCGATTTTTCGTCGGTGGAAGATTAGCAATGCATTGCATGTTTTCTTATATATTCTTTTGATGATATAAGAAAACATGTAATGATTGATCTTTCAATCTAGAAACTAAACTGCTAAATTAATTTAGATATAAAATTACTATGGAACCAATCTACAAGTATAATATTTCTGATATTTTTTTTAAATTTTTCTATTTTTTCATTCATACAAATTTTACCGAACATGTATTATGTTTACTTTAAATTTAAATTATGAATAAGAGTCCAAAACATTGTTAGCAATGTAAATTAGCTTTTCAAATACATTTGCATAAAGCATTGTCGCCTGAAATAAGATAAATCTGACTGTGAATTTATATGTTTTGATATAGTTTGTACAGCTAACGCGTTTTGTGTCAAAATTGTTGATAAAATATTGTAATTCTCATATCATATAACGCTATACTTAAGCACTACATTACTCAATATGTTAGGTATAATTCAAGAATGCATATTTGAGATAAATAGCTTGTTTATCCTATAATACGTAATTCAACAATTTAAAAGTAATAAATTAATTTCCTAATAGCAGTTCGGGTGAGGCCTATAGTCAGAGGTGGACAGATAATGGCTAATATAATAATTATTTTAAAAGTAATTTTATATTCACAACTCAACCTTAAAAATATTTAGTTTGTTTTTGATAGAGAAATTATGAATAGAGAATTTATGAATAGCTCGAAAAAAAATATCAATTACATTTTCTTTGTTTTTTGAACTATGCACTCATTTCATCTTCTATATTACCTTATGGATCCTTTGAAACCCTTACTTTGATATATCTGATAATACCAACACTCATTTCAGATTCTATCGCTTATAAAAATCTTTTCCTGAATTAATGAGACAGTGAATGGGATCAGGAAGATTTTTTTATGTAAATAAAAACGCACATTTGCGGTGGTCGCCGTGTATCCACGATATAATGACTAACAGAAATATCTCCGTGTGTGGCTGATTACACTCTCACGTGTAACAAGAAGTAAAACCTGTGGTAGAACTGTACTAAGGCGATTAACACACGAAACGATAAATCGTTGCGCTGTCATGTGTAAAGATTTAGCTGAAATATATACGAGTAGAAAGACAGAGAAGCAGAGCGCGATCGGGCATAAAACATTTACAGTCCTTACTAATATTACAATGTGAAAGTGAGTTTGTTTGTGTGTAACTTTACAGTCTTAACGGTTTAACCAATCACTATGACAATTAGTGTACACGTACTATATGGAAAGGAAAAGGTTGTAGGTTTTTTAGCCCGATCAGTGAATATCTCTCGGTTACGTGGACGAAATTGCGGGTAAAAGTACAAACGCGAGTAAATACTCTATATAAATAAAATTACTGGGCCCTACCCAGTATAGTATAATTATGTAAGTACTACTATATATTTTGTGTTTTAATATCCTAGTTATAAATAACGTTTACGCATGACCGTCAGTTTATTGTTTCTGTTTATATACATCAGTTATTGTCTGACTCATCATTGTTATTAGTCTTTATAATTATATTATTAAATTCTAACATTAATTGATTAGATTACTTTCATAATTATCATTATAACTTGCACATTATTTAATCTTCAGGAATCGCAATGCTTAGCCATCAGTCTGTCCACTTATGAACATGATACTGTTCTAATTTCTTTTTTTTTATACAATTTAGAATGGCAAACAATCTGACGGCCCACCTGATGGAAAGTGGTAACCGTCGCCTATGGACATGAGCAGTACCATGGATATAACAGAGTATACTGTTTCGCCCATGATACCCCCCATGCGTTGCCATTCCTGAGGACTCAGATGTTATTCCTCTGTACCCTGTAAATTCACGCCATATCCCACCCTTCAAACCGAAACACAGCCATACAAACACAACTGCATCACGGTAGAAACACGAATGGGACAGAGGTACCCAAGCAATCGACTTTTGTACAAAGTCTCCCTCTAATATATAATTTATAGGTATATACAATTATTTTTATCATCATTAGATTAGCTTTTTAGCTATTCTAAGCCATATTAAAAGAAAATGTAAGCCACCGAGTGAGTCGCACACTTTATCGCTCGACGCATCACTTCGTATGTCAATCGCTTAATCTGCATGCCTTGAAAAAAAACAAGTTTAAAATCTAACTGATAAGGATAAAGGTATCTCTATCTAAATGAGCTTAAACTTCTGGGAATATTTTTACCACGATATAATATGCTCCAGTTACCAAATCGCAATCAGGTCCTTATGATTTACATAAGTTATGATTATGGGTCAAATTCTCTGTATTCTGTAGATTAAATTTTTAAAATCTAGATAAAGTAAATTACTTAATAATAACGGATTATTATGGAAGTTATTTAAAGTTATACAAAAAAAAATTCGTAATAAATATTTGACGGCCTTCATGGTACAGAGGTAGGAATGTTGTTTTTTCTTTATTTGCATAAAATAAACGCTACATTAATATTCTATTTGTATCAGTAATTTTAAACAGATTTCTAAAATACTTTGTAAAATATATATTAACTGAGTTACTCTGAAGTTTCTTGCGGGTTCCTCTTAATAATTAACAGCATTATCAGAGTTGTTGTATGGTCCCGGCATAGAATAAGCCAGCCTTTCCTTTCGGGTATCGTAAGAGGCGACTAAGAGAGCTTAATAGTCGAGGGATGGGCAGCAGCGTCCCATTTAAAAGCTCACCAAGGCTTAACTGCGATTACTTCCAAAAGGGTTATGTTTAGAAGTGGACAATTAACGGCTGATATGTTATGGTATGGTATGGTATGGTAGTCTATATGAGCCCCCGCTTTCTGGATTTTTTTTTTTAGATTAATTTAAGAGATTGACTTTTCTATATTAGATCAGATCTGTGCATTGTGCTCCTAGATCATTGGCTAGTTACTGATATCAAATAATATCTTGAAAATCAAGCAATTGATGTAATAGTGTGGCACTTATTATCCTAGAACGACAAAATCGACTAAATGCCCCAAGTTGCCTATAGTATATTTTTGAATATTTGTTTGTTTGTATGTATGTTTCCGCATCACTCATAAACTGTACTAAATTAAACAGGGTTATTACCGTCTTATTCTTGACTAACTTTAAATATACGGCTTCCTAAATCAGCATTCCATTAATATCTTTATGTAACCTTAATCTGCTTATTTGTTAATGAATGAAATAGCATTTTAGTATTGTTTCTTTTTGTGTGATTCTTTTACTTGTATTATGAATTTGTGCAAAATTTATTGACTTACAAATTATTATTTAATTGTGTAATTGTCTTATATGTATGTTGTTATAGCTATCTGATTCATCCAAATACAAATTTCATCTTGGTGCATTACCTAGAAGAGTTTTTTGTCATTAGATTTCCTACTTTCAATATCCACGCGTAAGAAGTCACAGGAGCTAATGTTTAATAAATTAACATTATTATACTGCTTATAAACATGCATTTAGTCTAATCTAGTATACATTTACGCATCAGACTTCACTGTTAGATAAGACACACCGTGGGAACAGCCACTTTCACCCGCACCACAAGTTTTTACTAGATCCAGAACAGTTCAATTGTTCTGGCACCATCACTCGCAAGTTGTATAATGTTCGATTTAATTGTCACTTCTGCTCATTGTCTCCGCATTTTCTTAACGTTTTCGTGATACGTTTCGATTTTCACTGGTTGGCGGTAATTATGATGCTATCATATGGGAATGTAGGTCTCGAGATCCCACAGAGGAGTTGGGATCTTTCTACTGAGAATGTGAATAGAAAATCGAAGAAATTTTATTTGTCTGATGTAGATATAATCCTAAAATTAGGACGCATTTGTTGTCATTCATCATCATCATCATCATCATATCAGCCTTCAACTGTCCACTGCTGAATATAAGTCGCCCCTTGCGAATTTTGTCAGTAGTTCCTACGCTTGGCAAACTGGTTGACAACCACAGTTAGGCTTTGGAGATGTTTTAAAAGGGACGCTGCTCGCCCTCCCTTAGTCGCCAATTACGACACTTACGGGAAAGGAAGAAGTGGCCTATTCTATGCCGGGACCACACGGTAGATATTAAAGATTTTTAAAATCTTTAGTATCTCCCATATACATAAAAAAGGTATAAATTTATATTTCTTTTATTTAGCGTAAAATCGAAATTATTCGCATCCTTTAAAGGAGTGTTCTACCAGTTTTGTATCAGAGGAACTATAAATGAAAGTGAAAACATAAAAGAAACAGTAGAAATACGATAGGACTGTTGAGCCTTTCTACTTAATACTTTCTTTATGATCTCATCATCTTAGTCTAGGTGACTTAATTTTTTTAGTTTTCTGTATCCATTCTGAATCGAAAACAGACGTTTATTTTAATAGTGTAATACTTTCTTTAAAAGATGTGATCTGTTTTACATGTTTTGCAATAGTATAAATAAAATGCAATAGAATTTTTTAAGTATACATGAACCTTTCGAATAATCAGTTTTACGACTAATAATAAATTCAAACATTGAAAGTAACTGTGACCGACAGTGATGTATGGATGCATTTATTTACATTGTTCATTTTTCAATTTATTGGGTCAAGGTCAGTGGTATGCTCTAAATGACTGTCATTATTAAGTACAAGGTTCAAAATATCAAGATTGTAAGAAACTAATTTAGTAAATTCTGACTTACAGAGTTCAACTCCTCGTAGTCAACGCCGTGAGGTTGCGACTCGTTCGTCAAGGCCTTCCACATCTTGAGTCCATCTTTCTTCAGTAAACTCTCTTGTTTCTTTAACACTAAACTCAACTGCTTTCCAAATGCCTCTAAATCTATCCTATGAACACCTTCTTCTTGATCTATCACTGTATGCTCTTTATCACCACTTTCATTATTACTAGCACTAGATTCACTATCACTAATTTCACTAGAATTTGTTACACCGAATTCAACACTCACTGTATTATTAAGGTCACCAATTATATCAACATCTTTGATATACTGTTTTGCTCTAACAAACATCTCGTCATTTAAGAGAGACGGTGGGTTTTCTGTTTTCGTTGGACGATCATTTCTAGTCTTTTCATGAGGGATTTTACTAGAATTTGGGGTGTAAGAGTTAGCACCATGACCAGTTGAGATGTGCCGCCTTGATAGGTGGTGTGTTAGATGCACTAAGTGATATTGTGGCACTAAACTATGGTGCTCCACGTGGAAAACATTTCGTAGCTCGTCGGGAGTCATGTGCTCGTGAATCTGAAAAGAGGAAAGAACCAGTTAGAATTACATTTGTCAAAATAGACTACTAAAAATTCTTAATTATTTCTAAAATATAAACTAGTAATAATACAAAGAAACATACAATGCATAAAAAAACTTTATAAGACATAATGAACTATGTACGGTCATTCAGAATCAACACACCAAAATTATTAGTATAGGGAGGATCCAAAATTTTTTGTCCAAATGTCATCATCATCTCAGCCATTATCTGTCCATTAGAGGTAGGCCTCCCGGCCTACCTCTAGCAGTGGGGGACCATAGACTGCCATAAAGAACAGTCCTGAATCACCTGCAAATATATTGTCCAAATATATTTAGTTTTACTGGTCGAATATTCCACTTTGTTTTTTTATTTTGTTTATTAATTTAGGTTTAAACTATCCATGTACCAAATTTTACTCTAAAGTTGATTTAGTCATTCGAGTGTATTTGGCATACAAATATCCAATCACCTTTACTTTTAGTAAAGAACATATTTATGGTAATATGAAGTTAGATTAATGGAATAATTTGCAAATTTTAACAATATTTCTACGTATATTGTCTTTGTACATATTTTTTTCTATATGTTTTATACCTTGCTATACCTATAACTGTTCGCAACTACGTACACATCCGTATTCGCACCATTTTGTTTGAATGTCAACGGCTAAAGTCGAAAACCTTGGGTGAGGTCAATGCTGCTTCACACTCGTTCCTTTCTCGTTAATATTTCCATATTTGTATAACAATGAGCCTCTGAGATGACTTGGATATTCAGTATCATCAGATAACTTATAGAATTCTATAAGATAAAGGTTTAGTAAAATTAAACATCATAATAGAGTACTCTTAACTATAATAGGTTGTTTGAAAATTTTTATAATATTATCAGTGGCGTAACTATACCATTTTGGAGCCTGTGGCAAATTCTTTTGATGGGGCCCTATTAATAAAAAAAAAAAAATACTTTTCACGTAAAATAAAATAATCAGGTACAATGCAAAAAAAATCTGACCTCGCGGCCTCTTGAGCCGGGGCCCTTTTGGGTTGGGGGCCTATGGCATTTTGCCAGCCCTGCCACCCTATTGTTACGCCACTGAAAATTATCTACTAGCTACTTGAGACTTCGTCTACGTGACAGGGATATCTTCAGTGACTAGGATAAAAAGTAACGTATATTCTTCTCCGTCCCATATAGTACCTACATCATCGTCATCGTATCAGCCTTTAACTGCTCACTACTAAACATGAGCCGTCCTCTTGGGAGGTTTGTCAAAAGTTGCCACGCTTGGCAAGCGGATTGGCAACCGCAGAAATAAGAAAGTTTAAGTATTAGTGTAAATTTTAAACTGCAGCTTAGATAATTTATAACTACATGTATTATGCTGTTTTGTCCCTGTATTACATTTTTAAGCTCCAAGCTTTAAAAACAAGTTTAAATATAAATTTTATTCATTTACATTCAGTCATTTAAAACAAACATTCATATATTCACTTTTACAAATTTTTACATTTAAAATATTACTTAATAGGACATAAGAATTGTTTGAATATTTATAGAGACAATACGATTATATTTAGGATAATAAAAAAAGTATGTGGGATTTACCGCTAATTGGGAATACCCATTGAAAAGCATAAACATAGAAATATAATAAATACAAATTTAAAATAAACGTATCCTTTCTCAATTTATGTATAATTCGATTTCATTAAACATCTGATTTCAAAAAAAGGAAAGGGATCTCAAATCCGTCGTACTTTTTTTGTTTGTCACCTCAGAACTCATTTAGTTATAAACCTATTTAGTTATACAATTTCAGATTGGTGCCATTGAATTTTTATCAAAATTAGTTCAGCAGCTGAAGTTTTTAAATCAAAATAACTAATTTTGTCCGAATTTAAGCTTCTTTTTTTATTTTTTAACAGAATACAAGTAAGTTTTATTCAAATAAACTTGTTAACAAACTCTTTTAAATCACCTAAATGGTGAATTTATTAATCTACTGCTGAGTTCGGAATGTTGTTATCTGCTGAATAAAATCCACAAGAAACTCACCAAATTTTTCGGTTTATTTATGTACAAGATAATTTTATATTTATTTATTTATACTTTATTGTACAATAAAATATGTACAATTAACGAGCTTAATTCAGTTTAGCATTTTTTACCAGCTTATCATTAGGCAAAAACAGAAAGCTTTTGAGGGCATTCCTATAGTTTTGTGGAGCCAAGTTAACTTGTTTTAAATTATCGTTCAAAGAATTTCATAGTAATCTTTGTCCACCACTAATCCTGTACGAATTCAACATTCCTACAGATCCGGAAGCGAGCTCGTAGGTCGTCAACATTATCGATTAGGACAGTGGATTATTGTTAAGTCGCTCGAGCGAGTCGCTAACCTCGCTCGACTGAACTACTTATTATGTAATTTATTTTGTTTCATTGAAAGTTGTGGGTGAGAAAGTGCAATGTTAAAAGAGATTCGTTATTAGGAGATATGTCTTACGATATATCCGAGTTTATTAGTACTGTATTATATTTGCCTAATTGACAATTTATAACTACATTCATTCGATTGTTCATTTGACAGGTCGGTAATGAATCTGTTGATACATTTTAATAACACATGTGGATTAATCGATAGATAAAAATTGTAATAACCAACTCTTTGTCTTCACGTCAGATGCTAATTGAAAGCTGTTGAAACTTTGAACCGGACCTGTAGACAATGTATTTATTTATTTATACTGTATTGCGCTATTTATAAAAATAATACTCGTACAGTAACTTTTAATGTGAAGTAATATAAAAAATTCCTTACAGATAACCTTTGGGTAGAGGACATTGAAGAATATAAAAGGTAGGTGGCGCACTCTTATATGAAAAGGAAGGGTTTCTTAATGGAATGGTAACTCCGCCTGCGCTAACGGTATAGGTACACTGGCCAGGCACTAGTGAGAGATGAGAACAGGTAGGTCAGTTAGCTCATTGTAACGAATTTAATGATAAATTACTCACGACGGTTTCCAGGGAAACCGTGTGGAGGTCGATAGGATATATTGATAACAGTGGGGACTAATCTCCCTATTACTAACAATCCCTTTTCCCCGAAAAGGCAGGTTAATTAGCCCATCGTGATTAATACCTGACAGGGTATATTGCTAGCAATGAAATTGGTAATCCGCATTAATAACAAGCCCTTCCCTCCGGAAAGGTAGGGGTAACCCATTTTATGCCGGGACTATATGGCAATTCACATTTATAAAATAGGACAATCCATTGGTTGTGAATCAAACAGCCGACCCATTTATACACAACGAGCATAAAACAAAAATTCTGAACACGGATGATGCATTTCAGCAACAGAGCAATATACAATCTACATCAATATACGGAAACGTATCCAATTCGTGAATTATTTCAACTTTCGATTGTTTTCCTGGTCTTTGTTGCATCGTACAATGCATATTTCAATAATTAAAATAAACCATAAGCTGTACGTCAATTAAAGTTACTATTGTTTGTTAAATATTTAATTATATTCGAATTATCAATATAGCTTGTACTCAGCATTTCATTTAATCTCGTACCATTCACTTCCATAAACTGATATTAAGTATCAATGGATTATTTACTTAGCACCAATAGAAATTAATCCTAAATTCCCATGTCAGGTTTTTGTATAGACAAGAAAGTGTTCAACTTTGAACCTAATTAACAATATGTGCTAAGGTTACAATTCGACTAATTGTTTGCCATTGTAAGGGCAGAGACAGAATGTTGCAAAATAATTGCATTCAGATTTCGACGGTAATGAAACAATGAGTCACGAACGTCTACAAGAATCGGAACTAAGTGTTGAAGGTTGCTCTAGAAAGTTTCACAACAATAATTGCAATCAATTTAAAATGGTAAACGGGTAATTATGGTAACACAGTTATTAAAATTTGGGATAGTTTCAAATTTGCTGTCACGGAGGGTAAATTAAATCGTTATTTGACAAGCAATGCCACAGAATTTACGAGTAGTGTACAAAGACAGCATAGAAAGATTACCCTAAGACTCGTTATTTTTATTTATTTATTTATTCATTAGTACATTATATATGTGTACATGACAGACTTAATGCTAAAAGCGTTCTCTCCCAGTCAACCATAGGGAAGTGTCAGAATATTCGAATGCGGTACTAGTAATTATTGATATACTTGTACATACATATTAAAATTACATATAAAAACGAATAAAGATATATAAATAACCAATATACTTACACATATATAAAATGTACTATATTATACACGAAAATGGGAATAATATATGCTACTTACTGTTAACCTGAAGAACTTTTATACAACTTAGAATGGCAAACAAGCTGACGGCCCACTTGATGAAAAGCGGTAACCGTCGCCTATAGACATGAGCAGTACCATGGACATAACAGAGTATACTGTTTCGCCCATGAAACTCAGCATGCGTTGCCATTTCTGAGGACTAGGTGTTATTCCTCTGTACTCTGTAAATTCACTGCCATATCCCACTCTTCAAATCGAAACATAGCCATGCAAACACAACTGCTTCACGGTAGAAACACGTATGGGGCAGAGGCGCCCAAGCAAACGACTTTTGTACAAAGTCTTCCTCTGGTACATTAGCATTTTCATCATCATCAGTACTCTGGTACATGGTAACATCAGCAAACTGTCAAATTAAAATTCTCTTTATTCCAATAGACTTGTTTACAAGCAGTTTTATGTCAGTTTTACTTGTACGAGTATTATGGACAGATCAATTATTAATTTGTTTTCGTTAAATTCTAGAGAAACAAACTTATTTATAGCATAATAAATTATTAGGTATTAAATATTATAATATTGTTTGCATAGTTACGACTACACGGTACGACGCCTGCGGACATAGCAAGGTAAATGTGCATGTTTGTACTAGTCTATTTACACAGCGAAGGACACCACTTATGGGGTTTACACAT